CTCATCTTTCTTGTCGCAGATATCGCTTTATCGAATCCTGAGCGGTCTCGAAACAAATTTTTAAGTTTCGCTAGCTATTAGGCGTCGAGAAAGGCCTTTTGTCTTAAGAAAAACTCGATTTACATCCCCCTATATACAAAGTAAATTCCTACTTTCGGAGCGTTCTGCGTATCGTACCGCTAAAATCTTTTTCCATTAGCACCGGGATCGAACATATTCCCTTCGTCGTCCTTTTTATCGCTGGCGCCATTTTGTCGGATCCCACGAGCGGACCCGGAATAAATTTTAATAGCTTTTCGTTAGCTATTGGGTTTGGAAAAAATCTTTCGTCTTAAGAAAAATGTGTGATTTGTATCTCATATATACAGAAGATCAGTTTCCTTCGATCTAAGCTGTGTATCATACTATAAAATTCGCATTCCGTTCTCGTCAGGACAAGCATATTCCTTTCAGACGTTCCTCGTCCTTCTTATCGCTGGCATCATTTTGCCGGAGCCCATGAGCGACCTCGGAGCAATGCAAAGAATCAATTTCCTTCCTTCAATCCAAGTTATAAAGTCATTCATACCGTATCATACTATAAGGTTCACATTCCATTCTCGTCAGTATATTCCTTCAGACGACTGTCATCTCCGTCGTCGCCATTTTATCAGACCCCAATCAGCCCGGAACAAATTTTTAATGGTTTCGCTAGCTATTAGACCTCGAGAATTTTCTTGAGAAAAATTCGATTTATTCCCCTCATATACAGAGAATCAATTTTCTTTCTTCGCCCCGTCCTGTCTATCGTACCATAAAACCGCATTTCATTCTTTGCTAGTCAGGTATATCCCCCTTCAACACCCCGGCATCCTTCTTGTCGTCATTTTATCGCACCTCCGATCAGATCGCGGAACAAATTCTCCTCAGGTGTCCGCCATCTTTGCACACGCCATTTTGTCGGACCCGAACGGACCCAACACTTTCATCCCCTCCCCTATCTTTTCGTCTAGCATTTCGATAACCAATCACACCCCGGGCAGCTTTGGGAGCATCCAATCACGCACGTGGGCAGCTATTGGAGCGTCCAATCACACGCCGGGCAACTATGGGAGAATCCAATCAGAACGCACCATTAATTACCTAATTATCTCCGGCCACGCCCCTCAGCCAATCAGAACGCTCCATTTCCACGTGGAGGCTATCTTGACAGCTGGAGGCCACGCCCTTGGCGCTAGTGGGAAAGTGGTGGGGGTTTGTTTTGACGCCCCATAGCAGCCCACATACTACTCATCTTCTATTTGATCATTACTTATAATATCTACTTGAATTCATACTTAGGTCTTCTAAATCATTATGGACATCATAAATATTATAAGAATCATTACATTTATCGTAACGTACTTATTATTATCGTAATTATTATTATTATTCTCAAAATTATTACTTGTTACAATTATGTTTCTTGATAACGGCGTTATATTTTCACATTCAACTTTATTAATCATCATATTACTTATCTCTTGTCCTTTTCGATAATATTTTCTCCTTATTTTAGGCATTATGAAATTTAATACGTTTTTTTTACCTGCTTGATGATTACATGTGAATACTACTGATCCCTCGCTATTAATTCTTAACTTGCAAACTTTGTATCCAATTTTACAGCTGCGCTACATGTAACAAATATTAATTCGTTATCCTTTATAAAAAAAGAGATGTTAAGTCGATTACTCGTATTTCTCGAACTTTTTGTTGCCGCTTTTCCGCGATGCCGATTGGTTCTCTCGCTGCGCTAACGTGAATAGCTGTCATTAAGGTTATGATTGCAAAAAAACAGCTCATATGTAAGAAGATCTCGAAACCAAAGATCATGAGTGAAATACCCGAGTGAGAAGTTATCAAATGTAATTCTAATACCAGTAATTCCCGTTCACACAAGGCAATAATGACATGATGTTGCATTTGGCGGCGCTTGGTGGACATTACAAACAAGTATGATGAGTGCATCATATTTTATTTATTAATTGGATTATATTGCATTATATTTTTTTTGTTTACAGTTAAATGTTCATTATTTTTCAGCTAAACGCCGGGAGATTCTCGAAGACACGAAACACTATTTATGGCGATACTGATTCCCTAATGATAAATACTAACATTTTGGAATACGATGATGTATTTTCAATTGGCAGAAAGGTGAGAAAAACATCCCGTTGAATAATTTTATAATCTCTAGAATTTATGCGTCACTATCACATTAACAATATTACAGAATTGAATATTTTCTAGATTATGCGCAAAATCAACAATCGATACAAGAAAGTTGAATTCGATGGAGATATCGATGGAGTATTCCGATATTTATTGCTCTTACAAAAGAAAAATATGCTGCGGTTACAATGTCGAAATTGCCAAACGGTCAGATACAGTTGGCACAAGAACATAAAGGTCTCGATATTGTAAGAAGAGATTAGTGTCCATTGGCCTGTGACACTGGAAAGTTAGCAGATACACGTCATGATATTTCTACAGATTAATTTCATTCATTTCATAAATTTTTTTTTTCTTTCAGAAAAGTTTGGGATACACTCCTTTGTGATCAATCGAGTGAAACGCGTCTAGAGCAAGTCATATAAATCCTGCAGAACGTTGCAAAAATGTGAAAGAAGGAACAGCACTATTATCATCATTTGTTATCATTAAACAATTATCAAAAAATTTAGATGCATATCCAGACTGTTTCACGTTATAGTGGCACTTAGATTAAATAAAGCAGGTGGACAGATAGAAAGCTGATGACACATTGCTATATGTTATTTGCGATGTAATGGGATATTCGTATCCGCCACAGTACGCGGTGAAGGAGGATGTCAAGGAAAACATCAATGAGGATGACATCAATGACATTGAGCCCTACGTGCACACATACGAGGAAGATTACAGCAAAAGTGGCGAGTCCGCTAGCAGGTACATTTACACGGGAAACGAAATTCTATGATGACAAGCATGAGGAAGGCGAACATTTCGCTGAGGAGTTTCAAAAAATGACTCGAGGGAGAGAACGCATACCAGTCGTTACTTCGATGATTCGGAATATCAACAAAATAACAAAACAAGCGCGTATCGTCCAAAATGTCTGATACGGTAGTGAAGCGATAGAAAGATGGATGTAAAAAGATCGTGCCAATGATGAACATTATTGTTATGTGTTATTCACGTATAACCGAATGTTGAGTGCAGGATACCGTGATATCGCGATGCTTCCAATGCGCCATTGATATGACTGATAAGGTGCCTTTCGAGTACAGCGCCAATCGTTTTCATTCAGTGTCATGTCTCAATACTGTCTTCACAATAAATATGTTATCTGATGGTGCATCATATCTAGCTAGGAAAACTTTTATGTCAATTATTCATTCAATTGTGCTCACGATCGT